AGTACCATTCAGTCCTCATCGTTTCGCTTATTTTTATGCTTATCCGCATCGTTTATTAACAAATAAAAAAATATTTATGAGTAAAACTTTTATATTTGTGTCCTTAGTGATTCAAAGCAAATATTGTAAAATAAGTTCTAAAATTTAAATTTTAGCTTATAAATATAAGGATAAGCCAAACAATAATGCCCTCAGGTTTTACAAAAATCTAATGAAATTCATACTGGTTCCACGATATATTTATATATAGAAAGTACTAAAGGAATAAGTCCATTTAAGGTCCATTAACTTATCAACGAACTGATTTTCGTCATTCAACCGAAAAACCAGATACAATGGATCCCTCAACTGTCAAAACCGGTGCAAAATAAGTTCTAAAGTGGTTTGGATGGCGGTTTCAGCTGATGTTGCATCTACGTGGCTAATTTGACTCAATCTTCATCTGACGTGGCAATGACATGGCGCTTACGTGGCAACTTAATTTAAAATAACAAAAACTATGGTCCCACATGTCAGTTACACAAAAAAATAAATACAAAATGGTGGGGCCAACGTTGGCTCCACATGTCATTCACGCCCCCTCCTCCTCTTCCTCCTCTCTCCCCATCTCCCCTCTCTTCGTCGCTCTCTCCAAGTGTCGCTGCCATTGGCGAAGTGAGGTGGCTGCGGCCTCGGGCGGAGCGGCACGCGGTGGTAGACTGGAGACAGGAGACGGGAGACGGGAGAGGAGGGAGCGGTGACCGGAGCTGCACGATCTCGCCCCCGCCACCGCCGACTCCTATCGCCCGCCTAGCTCCGGTCGCTGCTTGCCCACCGTCGTCTTAAGCATCATATCGGTGACGACCCAGTTGCCGTCGTCCCGTATCCTGGCCGCGCACGATCCTTTCACCGCCGCCATCGGCGAGACCAACCACACGACGGTGGAGTTAGCGTCGGCGAGCTCGCAGCCGCGGGACATGGACAGCGTGGCGCCAACGGGGCCTGGGACCTGGTCGGCGCGGTTGACAACCTAGATGATGGTGCAGCGGGAGACCCACGCGTACCACACCCTGACGTAGGTATCATTGGAGCCCGGCGGGTTAAAGAACTCGATCTCAAAAACACCATTGTCCACCTCCGCCCCTCTGTCCTGCTCGACGCCTTCCTCGCCAACACCCTTATCCGTGCCCATGCCACCTCCCCAATCCCCTCCGTCCGTGTCCGTGCCACTGCCTTCTTCCTGTTGAATAGTATAAGGAAGCCGTGGAGGTGAAGCCGTAGTGACCCGACCAACGGGCAGCGCAAAGGAGGCGCCGGAGCTGGGGAGGGGGGGGGGACCTCCATGGCGGCGAAGCTAGTGTTGTGATGAAGATGGCCCAGGCGGGCAGCCGCTGGTGGTGGCGGAGCTCGGCGAGGAAGGTAGCATGCATAAGGCGAGGTCACTCGAACAATGTCCTCCAAATCGGGCCACACCTGGAATGAGAGATGAAGAGAGGGGAGATGAGGAGAGAGGAGGAATAGGGGGAGTGAAAATGACATGTGGGGCCCATGTGGGCCACCATTTTTAAATTATTTTTTGTGTAACTGCATGTGGGACCACATTTTTATTATTTTTCCAAATTAAATTGTCATGTAAGCGTCATGTCAATGCCACGTTAGATGAAGATCGAGTTAAATTAGCCACATAGACATCATGTCAGCTGAAACCACCATCCAAACCACCTTGGAACTTATTTTGCACCGGTTTTGGCAGTTTAGGGATATCTGGTTTTCTGGTTAAAGAATGAAAATCTGATTTGTTGACAAGTTAAGGAACCACAGATGAACTTATTCCATTACTAAAACATTCGGAATAAGTCTATTTTGCCTCCCTCATCTCTTACGCTTGTGTGAATACCATCCCCCAACCAGAAAACCGGGTATAACGCCTCCTTCATCTCTGAAAACCAGAGCAAATCACCTCCCTCGGTGGTTTTGCTGGCGGTTTCCTCTGACGTAGCGTTGTTGACCTGGTTGACAAGCTGACTCAGCGTGGTGGGCCCCACATGTCAGTGTGTAACACTCTCTCTCTCCCCCGGCCTTTTCTCTTCACCTTGGCCGGAGGGGCGCGCGGCAGTGGTGGTTGGGACGGCGGTCGGAAGCGACGGCGGTGGCGGTGGCGGTGGGGACGGCGGTAGGGAGCAGCGGCGGTGGCGGTGGGGATGGCGGTCGGGAGCGGAGAAGGAAGCGGCGACAGTGGTGGTTGGGACGGCAGCCGGGAGCGGCGGTGGTGGCGGTGGGGACGGCGGTAGGGAGCAGCGGCGGTGGCTGTGGGAACGACGGTCGGGAGCGGAGAAGGAGGCGGCGGCAGTGGCGGTTGGGACGGCGGTCGGGAGCGGCGGCGGTGACGGTGGGGACGGCGGTAGGGAGCGGCGGTGGTGGCGGTGGGGACGGTGGTAGGGAGCAGAGAAGGAGGCGGTGGCGGTGGTGGTTGGGACGGTGGTAGGGAGCGGAGAAGAAGGCAGCGGCAGTTCCCTCGCCACCTTCGCATCGGCCGTCACCGCTCGGGTGCTCAATTCCCCCTCTTCCAGTCCCCAATCCACGAAGCCGCCGCCATCACCACATCCCTCACATCCCTGCGATTCCATTCCAGCCCTCGCCGAGGCCCAGTAACCACCACAGCTAGAATCCCAAAATCCTCTCCGCCGCTGTCGTGGTCAAGCTCGCGAAGCCACCGCCATCTCTTTTCCTCCCTCCAGCGAGCTCCCCTTCTCTTTTCCCTCTTCCACTCCAAATTGACACCTCTAGTACTCTCTTAGACACGGTGAACTTTTCTTCCCCGTAGCCGCATTCCTCCGCCGCTGCCCTCGTCCTCTCGTCGTCGGCGTCCGTAGTTGCCCATCTCCACCATCCGAGCCAGCCACCGAGTTCCCCGTTGTCGAGGAGTAATCCTCTCTAGCGGGTGGTCGTGAGACCCCTCCTTTGTGATCGCCCGGGGGAAATGGCGCGATGATCAAGGGCCTACTTCCGCTTGCAGTATAATTGCTAGATCGCTCTCGTGGCTGAATGGGAGATCGAGGATTATACAGGTTCGGGCCGCTGTCGAGCGTAATACCCTACTCCAGTGTGTGGGATTATTGTGAATTTTTACAAGAGGTTTTGAGCTCTAAGGGAAACCTAGCTGTTCTTCCTCCGAGCTCATGTCCTCTGAGAATCGTCCCTTTTCTCGGTGGGCGAGGTCCCCCTTTTATAGTTCAAGGGGATACCACATGCACCGTTTGCCCCTACCCCTCCAAGGGAGGGGAGCACATGGCCCTATTCATACCGCTATCCTTCACTTCAACCGGAAGCAACATGGTCGCCTGGCTTCAGGTGGGACCCAGCGCCGCCCCCCGCTTGACACAGGGGACATCCCTGTCATTCCCTATTAATTGTGTGAAGACTTTGGCGGCTCACCTCACGCATGGGGCGTCCCTGACAGCGTGCCGATGGGACAGGGCATACCTACCCCCACTCCGCCTGACACAGGACGGAACGTGGGGGCACTGCCACCCGTCCCGTCGCCTGTGATGACTGGTCACAGGCCGGTCAAGCTCGATTGACATGGGTTAATCGAGCGGCGCCGCACGTCCCCCCACGCCGTATTGAATGCGGCGTGGGACGGTTGGGGCGCCGCGCATTAAAGGCGCGGAGCAGCGTCTTTCGCCCCGCCCGCTCTCCCTGCCACGTGGTGGCCGGGCGAGGGCCTCGGGGTAGCACACCCCGAAAGCCCGAGAGGTGCGGCGTGGCACGCCGAGGCCCCCTGGCCACCTCAGCGCTACCCGAGGGGCGGGGTGAGGCGAGGCCGCGTGGCTACGCGACTAGATGGGAAGGATATTTCCCTCTACTGCGCGTACCCCCGGGCCCATTTCACCGACACCCGTCCCTCACTTGTTCTTCATTCGTTTCCCGTTACTCCTACCTCGCCGCCGTTCGTCGGCTTGCCGTTGTGCGTCGCCGGCCGTCGATCTCCCCGGTGGTAAATTGCTGTCGATCCAAGATGACGTGGGCACGTGGCTGCCACACTGACATGTGGGTCCCACCACGCTGAGTCAGCTTATCAACCGGGTCAACAATGCCACGTCAGACGAAACCGCTAGCAAAACCACCAAGGGAGGTGATTTGCTCTGGTTTTCAGAGATGAAGGAGGTTATACCCGGTTTTTCGGTTGGGGGATGTTATTCACACAAGCGTAAGAGATGAGGGAGGTAAAATGGACTTATTCCAAAACATTCTTACCTAACACACCCAGCAAGGCTCAAACAAATATCGGCCTCGAACCAGGCCGGCCCAGGAAATCCTTCTCCCCCGCACGCACGGCCGCAGAATTTTTTTTATTTATACATTTTTTATTAAAATATTTACAAAAATAATTTTTTGTTTTAAAAATTTACAAATCTAATCGCCTGCCGCCCTTTGGGAGGGCGATTTTTAAAAATCACCCTTACAGAGGGCAGCAAGGGACCTAAATGCAAATTTTTCAACACAACTTGTTAGCTCTATGATTTTACAATTTAAAATTATATTATATAAAGTCAGATGAAATAAAACTTTATATCAAAATTGTAGATTTCAAGGAGATCTACAACTTTGTAGTTAACAACTTTTTCATTTAAGATGTTTTAGATATCCAAATATTCGTTACAAAATATAAAACACATTTTAAAAAATCTCAGATCTACATTTCAAACGATGTTGGATGGAGATAAACTTTATATAAAACTTTGTAGTTTATCAGTTTTCCATTTAAAATCATTTAGAGTATCGAATAAGCATTATTAGTTTTTAAGCAATTAAAATAGGTGGAAAGGGTTTAAACACAAATAAAAATTTTGCATTTAGGTCCCTTGCCGCTCTTTGGGAGGGCGGCAGGCGATTAGATTTGTAAATTTTCAAAACAAAAAATTATTTTTTAAATATTTTAATAAAAAAATGTATAAATAAAAAAAATTCCCGCACCTCTCTCCGATAGACCCGGCGTTGCGCGTGCGCCACCTGTTATCCACCACCACTCCGTGAGATCCATCCATCAATCCAAGACGAGACGACGCACACACAGCCAGGCAGCGACAGCGAGGCGGCCAGCAAGCCACCAAATCGACCAGACCAAACCAAACCCAAACCAAACCCAACCCAAGGAGAGAGTAGGCTTAGGCCTAGCCATTCCCATGACCAACGCCCAGCCCCAGCCGCAGCCGCGCCACCACCACCAGCCTCGTCAATTCTGAGGGCGCCGCCAACACCAACACCACCACCATCGGGTCCTCCTCCCCTTGCGGATTGGTTGCCTGACCCTCCTCCTCCTCCTCCTCCTCGTGTAGATTGATTGGTTCTTGGTGGTGGTGGTGGTGGATCGGGTGGCTTTGGCTGAGATGGTGGTGGTGACGGCGGCGGCGCCGCCTCTCGGCATAGCGTTGGTGGGGCCGACGCGGGCGAGGCGTGGAGGAGGGTTGTCGCTCTCCTCCTCCTCCTGCTGCTACCTGTCCATGTGCGGCCGTGGCGTCCTGCGAGGGGGATGCGCGAGGATGAGGGAGCCGCTGCCGCCGGCCCCGATTGGGCTGGACCGGGTACTTGCTTCTCCCACTCGTATTGCTGTTTCCTTTCCATCCTTGTTGCGACCTGTGCTTGCTTCTTCTTCTTCTTCTTCTTCTTCTTCTTGTTATCGTCGGGATAGGATCATGGACTTGTGTCCGCGGGGGTTTAGATAGTTTATATATTTCTGAAATTACCAGAGGCAAGGCAGTGTTCGTTTTCCCGGTTCTTGTCCTTGCTCGACGACAATTTCCTGATGCCAGTGAGAAACTAATCTTGCACAATCTAGTGAAATGTCAGTCCAATATATTCATCTCAAACCGAAAAATATGGGAGGAAAAATGGCTATTGTGGGAATTATGGTCTTGACTGAGCATCTGTTGTGACATCAAACTGCACCCCAGTGATATTCTGCCTCAGTTTTACACAAGTTACTAATATCCTATAGTCCAAGAAGACACTAAATCTTAAGGGGGGAAAATAATGATAGTGCTAAATGACCATACATACCTCTATTGGATGGCGTACAACGACTGTGCAGCCACTTAATTGCATTAGTTTAGGGGCTGAGAATGGACAAATTAAAATAATTATGCACTTGATTTCTTCGGTGGCAAATTTGAAACGATACATCCAGAGAGAGTGGACAGACATTGTGAAACCGAAGGAGCGGTATGATGGATGTGACATTTACTGAAAACTGAAGCTTTTTTACATTCCACAGTAATCATGGTCTTGTTACTGTTCTTTGCTAGGATCTAGATTCTATGTAATGGCGCCACTCATGACTTTCCACCATGTTCGCTGTTTCAAGTGGATAATTTCCCACCTCAATCGCAAACATTGGTTCATAATTAAATGGTGCGTAAGCACTTACTGCAGTCATTTGAAGAAATCTTTATGGTTGGGATTTTTACCGTTTGAGTATTATGGTCTGGATATCAGAACCCACAATGCACTAGAGTAAAAGATTCTGCGTCTAAGTAATGTACTCTACATGAAAAAAAGTTCTCATTTTGCACTACTTGCCAGATAGAGAATCAAAGTGTGGTATGGTATGTCTCAAAGGCTAACCTAGAGTCACTTTACTGTTGATCTTGGCCATTTATTCAGAATCCAATGCTTGCTAATCTAGCATACCTTTAGGGAGCTTGTTGGCTTGAAGATTGAGTCCATGAACCATTTAGTTTTTTGTTTGGGGAATGGAATGAGTTGGTCAGCCATCCCTCAAAAAACACATCCGTGTACATAAATGATGAATGGGATCATCTTACCAAAATCATGGGATTATCCCATGTTGGACCAACTCATCCTAGTTTGGCTTGATTCCTCAAAACAAACATTCCACTAGTATTTTTCTTAGTTTTCCCACACATGTTTCTTCTAAAGCGGCAGGGTGCATGCTGTCATTCCAGAACGACTTGATGAGTTTGGCCAATTTTCACAATTGGGAAAAGGTGCAACATAAAAAAAGTTAGATTCATTGATGCTAGAATGATGTAATATAATCGGTTTTCACTAATGATTTACTGCCAGGGGCTGTTTTTATTGTGCTCGTATAGTTTCTCTGCGGATACATGCGAAGAGATGGGCATGAAGATGGTGAAAGGAGTCAAGGAATAGAGGATTCTCTTATGTTTGGGCCAGACGATGATAATGGTTCAAATATTCCTACTCAAGTTGAGACACTTGTTAGGGGTACTGCGACGGTTGCTACTCCAGAGTATAAGTCGATTCCAGATCTAGATTACCTGCAGGTGGCTTTCTCTTTCCTTTTTCTATTGTGTCCATTCAATTTAACAAAGTCAGTTTTTGCCTAGTAGTTTCTGTAAATATGTTTGGGGCCAACAGATATCTTCCATGCTGTTCATCCTCATCCAATGAATGATAAATAGCATAACATGTATGAAATTATTTATATTATAGAATGATCTTATTCACTTAGTGGTAATGCAGGAGTTGCTGGCTATTCAGCAACAGGGACCGCGGGCTATAGGTTTTTTTGGTACCCGTAACATGGGGTTTATGCATCAACAGCTTATTGAGATCCTGAGCTATGCTATGGTCATAACGGTATGTCACAGAGTCTTATGGTATAATAGTTCTTCCAATATTTGATTCATGTACTACTCTAATTAATATTATTTGTTGGCTGCAGAAAAATCATATATTCACATCTGGTGCTTCTGGGACTAATGCAGCTGTTATCCGGGGTGCTTTAAGGGCTGAAAAGCCAGAGTTGCTCACTGTAATTTTACCTCAAAGTCTAAAGAAGCAACCTCCTGAAAGTCAAGAGCTTTTATCTAAAGTAAGATTTCATGATATTCCAGTCCCGAATTGATCATTTCTTACCTGTTCCATTTTTATCAAAATCTTTTACTAGAGAGCTCTACATGGACCAGTTTCTCTTCTGTGATTTTGTATTGCTAGATGCTGCTATAGGCACAGAAGTCCCAACATTTTTGGCAATAAGTTATGGGAAGGATTTATTAAGTGGGAACTCCATGTCAAATGGGAGAAAATGGACTCTGAATCCTTTGATCAACTTGTGGACGATTTGTGTTTATAGAATCTTTATTATGGTCAAAGTAGATGATTATCACTACCACACCAATTAAATAGCTTGCAATTGTGACTCATGAATTCATGTGCTTCCATTATCAGCAGAGTTTTCACCAGAACTTAGAAATGAGGCCCCTTGGAACCCAGAAAAGCATGCATTTCTTTAGTAGTGTTCCTCTATTACTAAAAGGTTGTTTAATCAATTATGCTAAAATTCTGTCTTGTCATCTCCAGTCCTCTATCCTTTTGGTTTGCCATAGGTTCGGTCTTACATCAGGTATTCATGGTCTTTTTGTATTCTTTGGATATTTCCTAGCTATCTTTATCAAACATGAACATCATTTTTTTAAGGATATGAGTTCAGGGTATTATAGATGGTGTGAGAATGAAATGTATCATGAATTCTTCATACACCATCTAAAGTATCCGACAGTTCTTAGAAGCTGACCAGACCTTCACCGTAACTTTTATTGAATTCCAACAATGTACCTCTGCAGAAAACATCATTGTTTTACTTTACCATGTAAAGCTAATCTTTTGTCCATATGGTAAGCTGAATATGAATTGGTGGGATTTTGAAATTTTGTAGGTACAAAACTTAATTGAGAAGCCTCAATATGACCATTTGCCACTAATTGAAGCGAGCAGGTATGTCAGCTACCTTTTCAAGTTATATTTGTGATTTTTTTACTTCTCATTAAATTTATGTCATTAGGTATTGTCAATCATCATAATGTAGTGTTTTCTGAAAGCAGTTAAAAATTGCTGCAGCTTGCAGCGACTTTGTGCTTCGGCAGCCGCAGCGGCTGCAGCTGCTATGGCTACCGAACAGGGGCCATTTTATAGACATAGGATATTTGATACATGGTCCTCTATAAGCCTGGCAATGGATTGGCCTCATCTTTTATTTTCATCAGTTGCTTGCTGTAATAGAGATCATGATTTTCCTTAACTAATTTTATTCCAGACAAGTGCTTAAGATATGAAACATTTGCTTGTGCCATTACACAAATATATCATATACCAGTTCGGTAATCCTTAATCCACTGGCTCCTGCATAAACAAAACATTCTAATAGCTACTGGTGCAATTAGAATTAGCAGCTATTGGTGCTTAATATGTATCACAATATTCAGGTTATGCAACATGGACATCATCTCGAAGGTCCAACAGGTGATTTGTTTTGCATTCCATGACAGCAAGCTGCTGATGGAGACCTGCCAGGAGGCCAAGAATCTCCGGAAGATCGTAACCCTATTCTACTTGGATTAGCTCCTCAGGGGCTTCGCCCCCATTTTTGTCTGTAGGCTGGTTGGTGATAGAATATTTGGTTCAGTTAGCTGTGTTCACTCTGAAACTCAGGAATGACACAGCCGAATAGGTGCAACCTTCAAATCGGGGAAGATCCTTTCGACCATTGTTTTGAATTTTGTATAAACCAAATAAGCTTGTCGATATGTCTGGTTCATCATTGAATGGAATAATTTAAAGTTCTTACTATTTCTGACCTGTGGCCTGGCTACTTTTTATTTGAGAGGGTTTAGCTATTATTTTGCACAACTTTTGCGATCAATTCAACTATCTGTTCCGCCATGTGGACAAATAATGCTCCTTTGGAATTCCTAGGTTTGTTTCGAATCCCAACTCGTGAAAGTTATACACATCGGAGTAAGGTTTAAAGAGTATATTGCACATAATGTTGCCTATGCAGCACTATAATGTTGTAGTAAAGAACAATATTTTTCCTTCTGTCGAACAGCATGTTAATATACTTATAGGGTCCGAAGCTTTTTGTGTGAACTAGCTAAATGCCCCTGCAACGGGATTTTTTTTATTAAGAAATACAATCAAAGACAGTAGAAAAGTAAAATTATTTTCATCCTCCGATTTATGGTTTGGTAATATTTTTTATATTTGCTGGCTCATAAATTGTTTCATGTTTTATTTTTTAGCTATTCTAATTCGCATAAAAATATGGTTTTAAATATGTTAGTATGGATTTTTACCATTTGAACTATTATTAAACATGAAAAAGGTAAAAAGGAAAAGAAACGAAACGAAGTACTCCCTCCGTATTTTAATGTATGACGCCGTTGACTTTTCGATCAACGTTTGACCATTCGTTTTATTCAACTAGGGTGGAAGCTAGCCTGCTAGCAGGTTGTGGGAGGCAGAAGGCTGTGGGAGGGAATCAGGGCATTGTTGAAAGACTCCCTTCGGTGACTCCCTTCGGTGGCCCCACGTTTCAGTGGTTGTGGGTGGAAGAACCACCACCATTGCTTTTCGCTACTGTGTTTTAATTTTGTATAGATAGCCGAATTAGTCCTCCAAATTTTACTTAACGCTTGGTTTGGTCCTTAACGTTCAAATTTATCCATCTTTGATCCAAGTTTTCTGTTTTAGTTCAAACTCGTTCTTGAGCCTACTAAGGAAGCCACATGGCAAAATATAATCAACATCCCTTAGATCATTAGACAACTCTTGTACCACTCGTTCACATATTATTGGAAGCAAGCCACCATGAGGCCCTTCAGCCGGGTTGCTGAAGCAAACAAATCCAAAGCATGAAAAGTTGGGCGAAAGATGGCGAAGCATGGCGAAGCATGGCAAACCTCAGTGAGACGGCGGAGCCCAGCGGGGTGCGACGAAGTACATAACGAAGCTCAATGAGGTGGCAAAGGTCAGCAAAGCCTGACGAAGTCAATCCGAATCGGGCTAGGTGGCACGCTAAGTAAAAGAAGATGGTGAAGGGCCAAAAGCGGATAACTGCAGGACATGCCCTATAAGGGGTTGGCCCAGGACATGCCCTATAAGGGGTTGGCCTAGTAGCTGCGCGATGCGGCCTACGAGAGCCCAACAGAATGAGAAAGATGTAAAAGAACAGTAATGTACCTACAAATATTCCTATCATGGGATAAGTATGTAATTGTTGACGGAAAACATGGCGGCTTGGGAGATTTGTTTCACTCCAGTGCATGTCCAAGGCTTGCCTCAAGTGTCAAGAGCGTGCTAGCTAGTTTTATCCAACAACCAGCAAGAAAGACAAAACGTAATTAGATGAACGATAGCTGATCGGCTGATGGGGCGATGACGTATCGTTAGGACCCATGCAATACGGATAAACCTAATCGGATGCGGCTTTACGATAGTCAATTAAAGCAAAACCCTAAATATGCCCTATCGGCTATAACACTATCTCTTTGGTTTTTATCAATCATTTTAAGACAGTACTATAGAAATAGCCGATAGACCAGTATTTAGAGCAAATATAGATATTGTACTAGCTAATACTCCAATACAGACTTATATAAATATACTAATCTATATAAACACACCAAATGACAATCGATCACCAGATATCTAGTTTAAGCGAGATCAATCTATCTTGATGTATTTATATAAAGCAATCTATCTATATAAGTGGAAAATATATATAAACAGATCATGAAACATGCGGCTAAAACCCCGATACCGTCCTTAGTTCTGATTAATTCTAGGTTAGTTTTTATGATTCTAAACACGGCTAGGGATGATGCATCACAAAGTATGCAAAGAATTATAAAGTCTAAACAATGAAGCAATTAGCCACTTTTTAGGATGGTAGATACCTTAGCTAATCTAATCTAGTAAAGCAATTTAGCCGATACCGGCATAAACCATAAAGCGAGAATCAGCCAATATGACTAAATTGAAATACTAAGACTAGATTAACTAAGACATATGATAGCAATGACCACGATAAAAGGACTAGTATATCTAAAGCGACATAGGAGCCTTGATAGCGCAAGCCATCGAGACAAGTTACCTCTTGTCGACAGATTGCAGCCGATGTCCCGACTTGAAGCAAGAACTCGTCGAAAAGTAAAACAAAATTGTGGCGATGCGCCGAAAGTTGTATTGATTGGATTGTCTCCCATATTACAATGATCTATGGTTTATTTTTGTTTTTTTGACATGAAACAGCAGGAGAGGCTCCTACTGCGATATATATTAATATAAAAAATAAAGGGGAGAATTCACAAAGGTTACAAATAATTATAGGGGAAAACTAAAGGAAGTTATCTAGCCATGATTGCCAAAGAGGGATGTCAGCTTCCTTTGCTCTATGCATATGCAAGGCAAACTCCTGTTTGAAATCAGCTTTCCATCTGTCTAAATTGTAAGCCACATTATTGAAAATGAGATCATTTCTTCTGCTCCAGATGTGCCAACAACTAAAAGCCATAACCTCAAAGAAGAAATTGTGTGGAAATTGGTTCTGTGCTGATGTATTCATGTTCATGAAATTAGTAGCGAGATTCCAATGAATTCCAATTAGTTACCAGAATTGCTGTGCTGCTGGGCAAGCAAAGAATAGGTGATGCATGTCTTCATCTAACATAGAATTGCACGGTACACAGTGTGTTCCTCCCTGGATATTGAATTGTTTCATGTGCAGCATTTTCTTTGTGTTTAGTCTATTCATTAGTAGTAGCCATAGGAACACCTTTAGTTTCATCATGCATTTGCTCTTCCAGAGGAAGGTTAGGGGTTTATCCGGTTGCAGATGTTCAAAAAACATTGAGTATACTTTCTTGGATTGATATCGATCTGAGTTCATATAAAAGTCCATTTGTCCGGCTCATTGGTATGTTGTACACTTTGCAAATTGTCGTGTAAAGTTTCCCCATGCATAGCTTGGTTTGAGAGAGGGAGATGAAAGTGCATATCCAAATCAGATGCCATAATGAAATTCTGAATTGAGGTATCCTGGTTTTTTGCATATGAGAACAAGATTGGGAACTCATTTTCTAAGTAGCTGCCATTCCAATTATCTTTCCAGAATAAAGCTGTGTCGCCTTGACCCATATTAACCTGTGAAAAAGCTCTAAACAAGGGTATTAATCTGAAGATGTCTTTCCACCAGAAAGATCATTTTTCTTTGTTTGCATGAGGGGGTTTGTCTGATTCAAGATAATGTTTGTTCCAAATCAGATGAACCCAAGGTAAATCTTCTTTGTTATAGAATTTATCCAGATGTTTGATGAGTAAGGCAATATTCTGAAATTCCAGATTTATTATTCCCAGTCCCCCTTTTTTCTTTGGTTGGCAAACTATATCCCAAGCTGCCAAAGAAAGTGTCTTAGTTTCCATTTCAGTGTCTTTCCTCCATAAGCAATGTCTTCGGGCACGATCAATGTGTTAAATAACCTTTTTTGGGAGCTTTAGTGTGCACATATAGTATGTTGGCAGGGATGATAGAACTGAGTTTACCATTGAGAGCCTTTGTCCATAATTCAGAAAAATTGTTGTGGAGGGGAGCCTTCTCTCTGTTCTGTCAATTAGAGGAGCAAAGTCACTGATATTCGGTTTAGTGGTTCCCATAGGTAGTCCAAGATATGTAAAGGGCATTTTGCCTATTGAGCAACCAAAAGTTCATGCTGAGATTTCCATTTTGTTACTGTCTGTGTTTATCGGGATCATGCAAGATTTATGGAAATTGATTTTCGGCCCCCAGTGCAAAGGGCATAGGTGTTGAGCAGGGCTTTAAGGGTGAAATTTTCCTTTTGGTCCGCTTTCATAATTATCAGAGTATCATCAGCGTATTGCAGGATTGGAAATTGGCTATCTCCATTTGGGATTGGGGCAGTGAGGAGGCCCAAAGTTTGTGCTTTGTTTACAATGGATTGCAGCAGGTCTGCGGTTAGAACAAACAACAGTGGGGAAAGTGGGTCACCCTGCCTGACTCCTCTCTTGCATTTGAAGGTTTTTCCAGGTACTCCATTCAGCATCACAGAAGTGGAAACAGATTTCAAGACATTGTTGACCAAGTTGATCCAAGATTGGTTAAACCCCTTAGCCTGCAAGATTTGCAGGATTGCTTCATGTTCCACCAGGTGGAAAGCTTTTTCAAAGTCAATTTTCATGATAATTATTTCTCTCTTGGTTTGCTGGCATTGGTGAAGATATTCAAAAGTCCATGCTAGGCAATCTTGAATGGTTCTGCTTTTAATAAAACCATATTGATTTGTGGATAAGATTCTGGATTAATGGTTGCAATCTATTAGCCATGATCTTTGTGAGGAATTTTAGAGCAGAACTTTGCAGGGCAATTGGCCTGAAGTCATTTGCAGATTCAGGGGAAGGTTTCTTTGGGATGAGGGTAATGAAAGAGTGGTTCAAATTATCCAAAGGCATATTGCTTAGAAAGAATTGGTGAGCCAGCTCATAGAAATCTTGCTTGATTATATTCCAACATTTATTAAGAAACATACCATTAAAACCATCTGGCCCAGGTGCTCTGTCTAAAGGCAAGTGCTTTATAATCAAATCCAGTTCATCATTTGAAGGTATTTCACTTAGAGCTTCCAACTCTTGAGATGAATGTAAAAGATTTGAGAGGTCAAGTACCATTTGCATTATTCCCTGGGTTCCCATTTTGGATTTGTATGATGTATACAGCACATGTGCCTTCTCAGCATGAGAGGTGATGATTGTTCCATCTTCAAGAGTTAGGTGAGAAATCCTGA